TTTTTTTTTTTTTTTGAAATTAAGACTTAACAATTTTAAGATTGTATCATGAGTACAATTCATATTTACATGAGATTTCTTTCATATTTTAGTACATATTGATCAGTCAACATATTATAGATATTCACCATACCAATCAATGATATTAAACAAAATTATAAACCAAACAATAAATTAATAAAAGGCTCGATTAGACTTAACCATGAAGATTAAAGATCACAAGACCTCCACTTTATCCCCAAGCAAAGCTTCATCTTGCCATGAAAATTTAAGATTTTAGTTGGGCATAAAAATTAGTGCTACAGGTGAAGTACTTCAGTTAAGAGGACAAATTAAGTGAGTGGGCAATACAACTTTTATTTCATGTTTCACGGGAAGGTTTGATTAAACATGTAAAATGTCAAATTTAAAGAACATCCATTTTGCCTTTTTAAACCCAATCTTGGAATTGGACTTTATAAGAATGTTTGCTTCAGACGTTGTTGACCGACACTTTAAAGGGATAATAGCGTGATGCAAAGGTAATTTCTTCTCCATCCGCTTATTTTAGTACAAATAACTTATTTTGTTTTGTTTGACGTATTTGTCCATTCCCTTTGTATTTTACTTGTCCATTCCCTTGTCTTTGAAGTGTTTTAAATGTCAATTTTTGCCTTTCTTTCTTTCTTTTTTTTAAGTAGTGTTTATCTATTACAACAATTTGAACATCTAAAATTAATATCAAAAAGAGATTGACATTTAAGTCAATATGTTGTTCTGCCCACAAGTGATTAGCATGAAATGAAAGACTTTAAAATGGTTGAGGTTGTCAAATGCCCACGAGAGGGGCGGCATTGTGGGGCATTCGGAATTAATTTTTTAATTTTGTTTTGTAAGAAAGCAGTGATAAGGAATGGAGAAACACACCCTAGAACAAAAGGTGAAAGAGATGTAAGAAAAAGAATGTCACATTCAACAATGTCGTTTCGTGTAAAATTTAATGGTTGATTTGTCATAACGTGCCCTTGTGGATGTGGTGTTTTCCTACTTGACCAGTCTATAATAGTATTGGCCTTGTCATTTTGCTCTCAAGATAAGGCTACCATAAGAGAGCACCTTTCATTTCTGCCCACAATATTGCTTCCAAGGTGCAGATTCCATCTCTTAGGCATATTGATATATACTGCTAAAAGGTGCCTTAACTGGTAAAAGTATACAAGGTTAGAACTTTGAAACTACTGAGGGATTTTAGAAAAAACAGAGATATCAATTAACAAGAAATCACCTCTGTTGGGTTCTTTTCCTTTACAACAAGAGATAGCATTGTTTTCTCCAAGTTTACACTTTAAGCAAACAAAAGATAATTCTAACACAATTTCATCATTCATTTTCAAAAATTGTGTTGTACAAAGTGAGTCTGCAACAAAACAAAAAGTATACAACCCTAAAATTTCAAGCTTTCAGAGCTGAAAAATGTGGCACTTCCATAATAAAAGAAAGCAGAGTGGAAGGTAGAACCAAAAGGGCCAGCTCCAGTTATTTCCAATTCTTCTCCCACGCTTGTTCTTGTTTACAATTGATTCCTAAACTTCTTTGCTTCTTCTGGTCTAAAAAGAAAACTCTTGACAGTTTTCTATTTATTAAGTCATATTCCCACTGTTAACAAATGAAGCAAGGTGCCACTTCTCCCTCAACAAGTTGTTGTGCAGTCATGAGACGCTGTACTAGTCTATCCAATGCTTCCTTCATCCACAAATGGTAACATACTTTTCTAGCTTCTGGCACACTCATCTACAAGAGCAGATTTTGACATATGGTCATGAATATTTCAGATCCATGTTTTCAAATTTATATCAAATGGAAATGGTACATACCCATACTCTTTGACGGATATTCTTTTCTGGCCAAATATCTAATTGTTCCTCAACAAGTAAAGGGAACATGTATCCTTCATAATGAGTGTCATGTGTCTTGCTCTTGAAGTTCCAGCTACCCAATTCATGCTGCAAAAAAGGAAAATACCAATGCCAATTGATAACACAATCCAACACATAAATTTGATCATCTTGTAACCAAATTGTATACCAGTTTATTTAAGGCAGCAAAACAAACAGAAATGGATAATTTGATCTAGCTGTCAATAAGGACCAGCCAAAATCAACTTTGTATAACCATAAGGCCCAAAGTAATTTGGATACAAGAAAAAGTAATCCACATGAGAACTAACCTCAATAGTTCCTCTTACTCCAGCTTCTTCAAGAGTCTCCCTCAAGGCTGCCTCCGTTTTGGACTCATCCGATTCCCAGCCTCCCTGATAAAAGTATTTGTGGAATAAGTCATTAGGAGATCAATGGATTGAAAGAGTCTACTAATACATATCCCACTTGTTCACAGACTTGGTCTTGATGTAGATTTTTCTGACACGGCAAAACAATTATATGGTAATATATACCTTTGGAAATAACATTCCTTTCCCATTCTGTGAACTGATAACAAGAACCTCAAGTTCCTGTTCGTCATCACCCAAGGAACCCTGTTCAGCACTTTTATATCTATATGGTATGCACCTGCACATTGGAGAAGGACAAAGGAAAAAATTCAGAAACTTCACTCCACTTACCGCAAAGCAGCAGCAAGTACGACCAAATTTGCCACCAAGAGGTAGGCTAATCAGGGGTCAAGATCGGGGGTTTCAAATAGCTAACTTCGGATGTACCAAAGAAAAGCTATTGACTAATTAATCTTGATGACTTAACTAATCTAATATTGACATCAAAGGCACATTGGAGAAGGACAAAAGCAAAAATTCAGAATATTCACTACAGTTACCACAAAGCCACAGCAAGCATGACCAAATTTACCAACAAGAGGTAGGCTAATTAGGGATCAAAATCGGGGGTTTCAAACAGCTAACTTCCGATGTACCAAAGAAAAGCTAATGACTAATCTTGTTGACTTTACTAATCTAATATTGACATCATGTGGATCAAATTCAGATATACACCAAAGTTTCCAGATTTTTCCTGTTTTCAATTAAATCATATAAAATCAGCATACAGCTAGAAGGAACTCCATTTTTCCAAAATGGTGGGCCACTGGATTTTAGAATTTATAAAGCAAGCACATCAATTACCATGAGACTTCTAGATAAAATACAATTTATCAAGTTATCTAAAATCATATCTGTCCAACAATTTCCACAAAACAAAGCTAGATGCCAGATTATGTTTCTCAAAATTTCCACCATATTTCTACTGACATTCAATTTCTGAGAAGAATATTGCTGCCTTTATCCTCATTGGATATTGGGGGCTCCTTTCCCCATCCAATGGTTTCTCAGTTTTACAGTCTGATAACGCAGTCCAAACTGTAAAACAGGAAACTCAAAAACAAATCTATTTCCACGTAATCAGCAACTAACATCCGAAATCTCTCTCAAGAAATTTACAGATGAAGAAAATTAATTAAATTTCATACCCATCATTGAAAAAGCAAAATTTAAAAAACTTTAAAGAGAAGAAAGCGAATTACCCTACAACTTGGCGAAGACCCTTGTTGTAGCGCTGCAAATGCCTCCCAGTTCTGGAAACCAAAGGCACCACATTTTCTTGGGAAACCACAGCCACCGCCATATTCCTTTTTTTTTTGCCCGATTCAAAAACTTTTGAACCACTTTCGTCTATATAGAATCCCCGGAAACAAACAGGAAACCGGTGGCCCCAAACAAAAAAAAAAAAACCAAAAAGGCAGAAAACAGAAAAAACCCAATCCTAGAAAATCTTCGAAAGAGAGTAATCTGTTTGTTTCTGTTTGTGGTTATCTTGTGAAAGAAGGCAGGAAGCTACTCCTCCCCCCCCC